GTTTAATCAGCATATTTTTACGTTCTTATGTTTTTATTTAACATACTTAAAATACTCTTTAGTGTATTTGTATGAAAATTTATCATACATAAAAATACTATGATTTTTAAAGATATTATAAAAATGAGTTTACAATTTTTTCATTATAAAATTCTAAATTATAGTTGACCCCATAGTACTTATATTAGTTAACGGTTTAATGTGTTCCACAACAGAACTTTTTTAACATATTTTCAAAACGTTTGTACCTTGTTAATAAATTACGTATGTCTACTGATATTTCTTGGGGTTTTTAAAATACTTTTAGGACTGTGATATTTTGGAGTTCCTAATTGACTAACAGCTTTTAAAGGTGTCCTACGCGGATCTATTACAGACTTTCTTACTAATGCCTTGGCACTTTTAGGTGTTTTCACAGTTAATGGTTTCTTAATGTGTGGTGTTTTGCATAATGCGTTATTATCAGTTTTATACATACTTAATGTTGATTCATGCAATAGTGTATTGATAGGTATTTTTTTTAACAATGGTGGAGTTTTAATAGCCATGTTTTCTTTTTGATGAATAATTGCATTAGGTGTCATTGAGTCATTAGAAATATAACAATGCGTTTCAGTGTCTTCTTGATTTAAATTTACAGCCGTGTTTTCAGTTTCCATTGCAATATGAGAAGGGGACTGTTTTAATATCATTTTTGGATTTTTATTTTTCACACTTTTATTTGATTTTCGACATAATTCAGTCCTTTCACAGTTTTGCTTTGCACTATTTATAAATTGATCATCCTTCGCACTAAGTAAATCGTTTTTCTTATTTAAAATAGTGTTTTGGGTAAACATTTTTGCTGTACATTCATCAAACAATTTAGCTTTAGCTAGTACCATTCCTGCGTTTTGAGTTCTTAACTTTGCAATGGACGCACGACCAGTTTGAGTAACTGGACTGTTCATTTGATTGGTTGATTTAAAATATCCTTCTGCATCTCTCCAAGACATTGCTGATTTCTTCCAGCAATCAGAATTAGGAATTAACTTACATGTATTACTTAATATCATATTTTGTTGACTGTTGGCCTTTTTCAATTTTTCAACTTGTCCATCAGGACACATAGCCGTATTTGTAAGTTCATTGCCATGGAAAGACGATACTCGACGTACTGTTGCGTGTGCTCGATTTTTTATTGGCTGCAGAGAACTCTGATCAAGTTGTGTTCTGCATACATTTGCATTATTAAATTCATTATTTAATATTGTATTATTTTTCTCTTCTTCCCAAAGGGAAGTAGATACAGGTCGTAAGTAAGCATCATCTTTTGTATAATTCACTGGAAAAGCTTTTTCATTATGGGAATAAGTATTATTTAATTCTTGATCCGACTGTAAATGTGACTGTAAGTCTGATCCACGTGAAATGTGCCACGAAGCAGTTCGCCTAATACGTTTACTAAGAAACAGAAAAACAAAAATTAATAGCTGTGAAAATATAAAAATTTGTTTACCTTAAAATTTATGTACCTCATAACTCTTTCTTGTGACCTCCTCCTTAAACTTCCTATCTTTCGAGCACTTGGAGATCTAATGATTTTATGTTCACCTGATCTTCTAATCTTAAGTTCTTTACCAAGTTTCTTAGCTAAATAGTCTGTTGTTACTGTACTTTCAATACTAGCTTCTACTAAAGTTTTTTCATATGCAGTTTGTACTTTCTTTACAGAATGCGGTAATAAATCATCACTTTCCTCGTCATTTTCATTATTTACACATCCAAATTCCTGAGAAAGACGAGATTCGATTGCCGAGACTCTACTTTTAATTTCTTCATATTCACTTTTAGGTATTGTAACATATTCTTCTGACTGATTATCTAATGACGTAATTTGAACGTGTGAATATGTTTTAAAATTATTTACAGTTAGCTTTCTTTTTGATGGATATAAACATCGTTGATCAAAATTGTCCAAAATGTTCTGTTTTTCTAAACTTAGTTGTGAATTACGTTTAGTAATATTAATGTCATCTTTTTTTGTTAACAAGACCTGCTCGTCACTATCATCTGATAAATTAACATCTGCATCAATGAACATGTTATTATACTCTTTGTGAAGTTCGTTTGATACTTCACTGTCTTTTAAATTAAATTTTAATTGCGATGACCCATCGCTATACGCTCTACATGTTCTTTGTGAATCACATGTATTACAAATAGAACTCCAACGTTGTTCTGTATGTGTATTAAAAGTATTTGCATAGGATTCTAAATCTTCATCAACTGTTTTCTGCAAATATAAAAATGTTATGTACACAAAATATTTAAAAAACCAAATTAATCATTCAACAAGCTATCTTAATATCCTTACTGGTTTTCTTGGTACAAATCGATCCAAACTAAGTCTGAGTTTTTTGGATTTATCTGTTTTGTCTGTAACTTTTCTAAAACACATATTAAATTAATATTTATAAAAATATGAAATGTTTTGGTAAATTATATGAAAATGAAGTAAATAAATACTTTTTCTTTGTATTTGGAGGATCTAAATATTCAACTTTTCTTTTTTTGGTAGACTTCATATTTGATGCATGTAATTCATTACATGCATCTTTTTCCTGAATCCTCTGATTATCACAAATATTACCCTCTTCAGAGGCAGCATTTTTACCAACAATCTTTTTCAAGCCATTAAACATTCCTAAAGAAAAGTATTTAAATTTGAAAAACTTCTATATACATGAATGTTCTGATCTGTTAAGTAATTAGATTAATAAAATAATTAGATGCTATATGTGTTAAAATATTTAACATGTAAAGCTTTTATAGCATGCTGTTATTATGAAAATTTGTTATTGAGATCAATACAACATGCATAAGTAGAAATCAGAAGTAAATTACTATGAACAGATCCACAGACATACTTAGATTGAGGTTGGAAGCACTTAGATGTGGCTTACGTGTAAGACTTCCACTGCGATGTTTCTTTTTTCTGAACTTTGAATGTAAATGATCAGATATATCTAATTCATTATCTGTGCTGCCAATTGTTTCCATAGAAATAGCTTGTGTTATGTGATCTGGTAAAATACCAATGCTTTCTGCATTTTCAATTAAAATCTGAAATAAATATTACAGAATAGAACAAGTGAAATTACACTTTACTAAGATTTAAATTAAAAAAAAATATATATATCACCTTAATAATAATTAAATGTAATTCAAGACGCATTTGCACAGCAGACATAGTTGCTTCTTGCAAAGGCATAATATTTGGTCCAATAACTTTAGCTAAATTATCAACATTCATTTTATTTTGTTTTTCACATAATGATACTTTTTTTAAAAATTCCATAAAGAATGCCATAGTATTAAGATGATGTGGTGGTAAAAGGATACAAGCTAATAACAATGCTTGTACACGATATGTTTTTAGCATAGCACAGTGCACAAATAAATCATGATATATATATGGAATCAATGGTTCTGGCAAATCTCTAAAGAAAGTTTTCAAACAATTAGCTACATCAACAGCATGATGTTTTTCTCCTAAAGTACCACCACTATCTAAACGAGCTATTAATTCTTTTTGTCTAAGTTGTGACCCTGCTTTTCTGAATAATCCTTCCTGAGTGATACACTTTTCTAAAAATGTTGATGCTTGACTAACAAAAACAGGCACATGTACAATGGCACCAGAAGATAGATTTACAACATCCAATGGTTGATATAATAAGGGAGTCTTAAAAACTTTTTTCGAAATATGTTTAATTCCTTCAGGTCTTTCGCTTTTGAACATGTTCTTTTTAAAACGATATTTAATCCCATAACTGCGAAGATCGTTAACAATTGAATGATATATTGTTTCTTTATGCAGTACATCGTAAATCAACATATTTCTACGTTTAGAATATAAAATGTTGAATCATAAATTATAATAAAATATTTTGGTTATAAACTATTAAAGAATAAAATACAGTTCTTATATTCAAATAAACATCATCAAACATAGACTCATATTGAAATTATCATGTAACTGACATGCAGCATTGCCAACCATGTGATCAAATTTTTCTTATGAAATGAAATTCAAACTTAATGTAAAGTGTGATTGTTTTATTAATTTATTATAAAAATATATGTAATTATTTATTTTATATTTATATAACAGTTAGAGTATATTTAAATATTATACTTTCATATTCTCCTACTTAAAGAAAATATCGAATAAGATATATCGATAAAAAATATCGACAAATGTTATCATCGATAACTTGTTCATTTTAATGCGGGAAGAGATAATTGACATCACTTACTTGGAACTTACACATTTATAGTAGTTAATTTTAATTTGCTAACAGAAACATAATTTATAAGAAATTTTTTAAAACTCACTATGTTTTTAAAAAACATACTTGAGTATCAGCAATATGTACCATTAACATGTCAATGTATAAAACATCGGTTTATCAATTGTTTTTTCATGAGAAATGAACGTTGACGCTTGATTGTGACATTATGTATGTTGTATTTAATTTATTTAACATTTGTTAATTAAGTATTAGCACTATATTTATTTGTACAGTCAGAAAAGTACATAGAAAGTTAGTTTCGTTACATGAGTTATACTCGAAAGTCGGCTGATTTAAATTATATCAAGTGAGATAATTTCGAAATATTTTAGTTTCAAAAATACAAAAATTTCTACTTACTTTTACATTACGATGTAAATAATGATTCTCTGGAATATTTCAGTCAATGTTAGTTTTAAAACACCACAGATCAATAAAATGCTCTGTGACATATATGTAACTCTCTCTATAAATATAGACTTATGTATTCAGAACAGTACAAGTCTGATCTAACTTTAGAAATTGATTTTGTATCTAAATAGCACTACCACAAAATAGTTATTTCTTATATACTTAAAAATAGTTCTTTATTGGTAATCTTAAGAATTGTTGCAATAATTTGACCACAATAATGTTAGTATAAATTATTTAAAAAATTGTTATAAATATCCTTTTCAGCATTAGAACAATTGAAGAAAAGAAATATGCATACAACAAAGTTGTTGTCAGGATATGATATGCCCACTGTGGGATTGGGTACATGGCAGGTGATTTAACTATGACATTAAAATCACAGTTATTACTTGTAATATAAAAATTATTTAATTTTTAAAGTGATTTCATTGTGAATGTGCTACAGGCTAAACCTGAAGAAATTGAAAGTGCTGTAATAATTGCTTTAGAGGCTGGCTATAGACACATTGATACTGCATTTAATTATAATAATGAAGAAGCAATTGGAGCAGTATTAAAGAAATGGTTTGAAAAAGGTGGAAACCGTAAAGACCTTTTCATCACTTCAAAGGTAATATTTCATTAAGTTAAGAAAACAACTCTCATTTGTCAAATTAAAAAGCATTTAATTATATTTTTAGTTACCTCATTATGGTAATCGACCATCAGATGTAGAAAAGTTTATTAATTTATCATTAAAAAAACTTGGTTTGGATTATTTGGATATGTACTTAATCCATATGCCTTTTGCCTTCAAATTAAATGAGAGTACTTATACTTCAGCAACTAATGAAGATGGAAGTTATGTGTTAGACCTTGATACAGATCCTGTTTCAGTGTGGAAGGTGGTATAATAAGTAATATATTAATAAAATATAATTTATAATTTTTTTAAAACATTTTAGGAAATGGAAGAACAAGTAAGAAAAGGTCGTACAAAATCTATAGGCTTAAGTAATTTTAATGAGAAACAAGTTTTAAATATATGGGAGAATGCACAAATTAAGCCAAGTAATTTACAGGTAAGATTTCCATTTTATAGTACTTCATCTTAACCATGTTTTAATAAGAATTATTTTAACCCGCTATTAGGTAGAATTACATGCTTATTTACAACAAAATTCACTTCGACAATTGTGTCAAACGCGCAATATTATCGTAACCGCCTATAGTCCCCTAGCATCACCAGGAGCCAAAACGCACTTTCAAACAAAATACAATCATAATGTTGAAGATTTTCCAGATCTTCTGGGACATCCAATAGTACAAAAAATAAGCACAGAATACAAACGATCAACGGCACAAATTTTATTACGTTATTTGTTACAATTAAGTGTCGTTGTAATTCCAAAAAGTTCATCTCCAGAAAGAATTAAAGCAAATATTGATATATTTGATTTTGAATTGAAAGCAGAAGAAATGGAACTTCTGAGCACCCTAGACAAAGGCGCACATGGGAGAATTTTTAATTTTCTGTTCTTTAAAGGGTAAGTATATTTATTACATGTATTTAATTGCAAAAAATGTAAAAGTCTACAACTTTTCTTATTTCTTTTAGGGTTGAGAATCATCCACATTACCCGTTTAAAGATGAATTACAGTCCTAATTAAAAAAGTTGTTAACGTGTAGTTCGAATTTATGCATATTTATACATTAAAAATCAATAAAATACAGTACAAACTGATAAAATACTTCATAACGAATAAATATATAACATTTAATGTAAAAAAGGAATGTCGTTAAATTTCAATGCAATCTGTATAACATTTTACGTTGCATTCGATGCTGAAGTTCCCCGCGACGTATCATTGTGTGTATAACTTTATAAATAGCACGCTCTGGATATGCTTGTTTTATAAAATCTTTAACAATATTTTGCTCCGATACTTGATTCCCAATAGGAAATCTCCGTTTCAATTGTTTTTCAATGCGAGATAACATTTCGTGATCTTCGTCCGAGGTAAATCCTTCTACACCTAAATTTTTATGTATGTTTATAAAGATGTATAATATGAAAACATACGTCCACATATATCAGTTACTTAATTCTAGATTACCTGCCAATGATCCAGACATTGCAGCATCTAAAGTAGATACTTGGAAAAGCCTAAGCGCTTCATTGACATGGACTTCTGTAGCAAAAGATTGTAATTGCATTTTAGCTAAAGATTCTGAAGTTCTTATAATAGCTTCTAACTGGCGAACTGTGATGGGAATAGACAGTCTTTTTTCCGTATCCTTTTCATGATCTCTGGTGCTTGCTCGCATTACAACGTAACGATTTTTTAATTTTTCTCCTGCTTCTTTACTAAGTCTTGGACCACAACGACTGTAAAGGTATAGAAATTAGTTAAAAATAAATAAAGTATTTTGAAATAATGAGTAGTCTTACGTTCTACAGTAGTGAATATATTTCTTTAAAATGTGCAATGGTAATTCTCCTTCTGCAGATTGTTCTGTAACTTGACCAGCATTGGTGTGGATACTCATTACATGTTTCGCTAACGTTACATCTTTACTTTGCTCATGTTCATCTTTAACAATGAATATCATATCGAAACGTGATAAGATCGTTGGCATGAAATCGATATTTTCCAATCCTTTTATATCATCCCAACGACCAAATATCGAATTTGCTGCTGCTAAAACAGAACACCGGGTATTTAATGTTGTAGTTATCCCCGCTTTTGCAATAGATATTGTTTGTTGTTCCATAGCTTCGTGTATTGCAACTCTATCATCTTCCTTCATTTTATCAAACTCATCTATGCATACAACACCACCATCTGCAAGAACCATAGCACCTCCTTCCATGACAAAATTTCTCTACAAATTGAACGAAATATTTTTATAAATCAGCAGCCGAGCTTCCTTTTCCAGATGTATAAACTGCAACTGGTGAAACTCTTTCTACAAATTTTAATAACTGCGACTTAGCTGTACCAGGATCACCTAACATTAAAATATTAATATCTCCCCTTCTACAAAGACCATCAGGCATTCTTTTTCTGGAACCACCAAATAATAAACATGCTATAGCTTTCTTAATGTCTAATGCACCAAAAATACTAGGAGCTATGCTCTTTGCAATTCTTTCATATAAATTAGAATCTGATGCTAAGCGTCTGAATAAATCTTCTTCTTCATTTGTAACACATGGATGGGTACCTAAAAATCATAAAAAATTAACTCAGGATACTTAATCCTTACTAAAAAAATTATTTTTATAAAATTATGTAATACTTTACCACTACCAGTATTTTCTCCGTCTACAGAAATACCAATAACTCTTATATATGGAGCTCGAACACCAACTAACGCTTTATCTTTTCCTCCTCCTCTGACAGTATTACTAGTAACCTTTTTAATTGAATATATACCCAAAATAAGAACTCTATTGCCTGGTACAATTCTATCACATAAATAACGATCACAATACAATTGTAAATGCCTTGGTATTTCACCCTGTGGAGTATGATCTGGCAATTCTTGTAATTTAAGAACTTGAAAATCAACACAATTACATTTATCTGGCATTATAAAAAATGGATCCAAAGGACATTTTGGTCGTCCTGCTTGTTCTGTTGTACATTTTCTAGGTAAAACATATCCTTCTAAACCAGGTTTAATGGAAATGTTAGTTTGCATGCTTCTGCAAGAACGACATTGTATAGCAATCTTTGTTGCTTTTGCTCTAATCCCAGATGCAGAAACAATAATACCAGATATTTTAGTAAGTTTAGAAACTGCATCAGGCTAAAAAAAATTAGGCATCACAAGTTAATAATGCTATATCATATGAGAACTATATATTCCTTTTTAACAGTAAAACAGTTTAAAACTGAATCTTACTTTTATTCCTCTTAAGGAACTTGAGTGTGCATCTGAAGATAATAATACTTGTATGTCTTCAACTTTTTCTTCTCCTTCTGGTCTTGGAGCTGTAAGTTCATCTGCTAAATCTTTTGCAGCTTCCTCCAAAATAGGTAAATATTCTGTTGGATGTTTATAAACTTTTTCTGCTAGTGATTCATCAAATGCTGCTAGATCTTCTAAATTAATTTCTACCCAATATTGACCCAAATTGTAATTTCGTTTTAAAGTATCTCTACAAGATTATAATATATTAAATGAACAAGAATACAATTGTGTAACATCTAACATAAAGTTTTAATTAATATCTTAAACTATAATTTGTGAAAGTACCTATATTTGTAATTGAAATTGCCCTCATGGAATTGTCTTATGAATTCCATAAACTTCTTTTTCGAAAATTGAAGATTAGTTTGAGTTTCATTAGATTCACCTACTGAAAAATTATCCGAAAAAAAAATTCCTGGATCATCAAATCCTTCCATTGTAAGTTAATTTTTGATTATTTTTATGTATAAACATAAGCGTACACCACTAAAAGTTTGGCGGGAACTAATATGATAATAATCATCGAATATAAAATTCGAGATACGACATCACCAATGTTTTTGATGATGCTATTAAATTAATACTGTATTTCAAAAAGTATGCAAACTGTAAAATGCATATAAAACAAGTTAGAAATTGGAGTAAATATAAATTAAACAACACTTATTTTAGATTATATACAATATTATTGTAAAATAGTTAAAAACTTTCACTTTCGATGCTAGTGCCATCTACCGTGATAAATCTGATGAAATTATTTGGTTCATAGTGTGAAAATTTCAGTCATTTATATGACTGTGTACACTTTGTATCCAGTTTTAATTGCGTGGCCGAAATTAACGTTGTTTCGAACGTAATACATTGTATGTGTTATATTTTATCGGTCAAGTATATAAAACAGTACCGTTGACATTGTTTGATATTATTGCATAATTATTGTTCATGTGGAAGAAAGGAGACTGGAATACGTGACTTGGGTTAAATTTTAGATGAATTATTTCGTCTAAAGCTGTCTCAATCTAGTGTATGCGCATTTTCATTTTTTAGTGAAATTAAATTAATACATATTTATATATGGGTATTATTTACTTTAGAATCAATCTAAAATTATTCAGTATTTAAGGACTTCGCAAAAATGAAATTTATAAAAAAAGAATGCTTTTCCAAACATTGTTAAGATATATTATGATATACAGACGTGTTATTTTGAACAGAAATTTTCGTACTCGTTAAATTTCTAATTGTACTTTAATTCATTTTACAAATACATTTAAGTTTCTTTGATGTTTTGAAATCATTGTTACTTATGTTTCTATGAATGGTATACATATTGTGAATTTCGTAGTTATAAAACAAAAGTGTATGAATAAAATTTTCCAGTTATTTACTAAAAAATTGACAAAACACACTAAAATATGAATTTTTATAACGTATATTTTTAATGCGTATAATATATTCTTTGGATATATGCATATTTAATACATTTAAACGGTGCTTATTGAAGTGAAAAGTGATGACAGCTTGATGTTATTACATGTATTGACATTTCTTAGATTTTCGTTTTCAATATTTTTCCCACGAATTCTTTAGAAGGGAACGTAAT